ATTACTTTCCTGAGCATTTTGTTTTCCTTTGTCTTCCACTGGCCTGACTGAATTTACTCATCCCATTAAATGAATTCTCCTGAGACGTGGACTGTTTTATCCATTCTGTGATCTCAATTTCTAATCAGCAGTTTTTTTAGTATTCATGAAATATTAGATTGAGCTTGTGAAATTTCTATTTTTTGGTTAAAATGATTAGTTATTACTAACTAAAATGGTTAGTATTACTAATTTTATATGTACCAAAATAAAATTTTATTTATTGTAATTTTTTCAGAAACTACATTAAAAAAAAAAAGACCTTGGCAGGATACCCTATTCTTTCCCTTTTCTTTCAATTTTATTTATTGCATTTTTTTTCAGAAACTACATTTTTTTTAAAAAGACCTTGGCAGGATACCCTTTTCTTTCCCTTTTCTTTCCCTCTCTTTCAGTTTCATACATATATGTGTATGAATAGTACAAAAACAATACACACACACACACACACACACACACACACATGGTATTAAGCATATTTTTCCACATACCCACCTACTCTACCTTTTCTCTCTGCATAATTCCCTTTGTTGTTGTTTTTTTCCTTTTTGAGACTGTTTTATCATGTAACAGGATGGCCTTGAACCAAGCCTTCCAGTTTCCTGATAGAGATTTAAAGCAAGCATAGAAATGTATCTAGGTTTGCATTATTTTGTAAGAAAAACATGTTCCTAATTTGTCATTCTTTTTTTTTAAAAGATTTATTTATTTATTGTATATGAATACACTGTAGCTGTCTTCACACACACCAGAAGAGGGCATCAGATCTCATTACAGATGGTTGTGAGCCACCATGTGGTTGCTGGGATTTGAACTCAGGACCTCTGGAAGAGCAGTCAGTGCTCTTAACCACTGAGCCATCTCTCCAGCCCTAATTTGTCATTCCTAAATGACTTTTTGTGTGGTTATTTATATAAGAGCTGCTTAAAATTGCAGTAAAAAGTATATTCAAAATCTTGAATATAAATGTTCAACTGTATATTTAGTATAAGTCTAAGGCAAATTGCCAAAGTACAGTACAGTATAATGTTCTTGGGAGGCATCTAAGTAGATTATTTTCTGTTATTTTAACAATATTTTTTAAAGGCTTGAATTACAAGGCCAATGATTTTTAACTAAAAAGAATCCAATTAAATGGAAAAAGTCTATTCTCAGGGAAAAAAAAAAGTATAAACACAGTTTTTTTAAAGAAGGCTTTCTAAATTCTAATCCATGAACTTTGGCTTTAAGATTCTCATCTGGTGGAATAAACTGTATCTTTCAGATAAACTTGAATTTACTTTTTCTTTCTTTCATTTTGACCAGGCTGGCCTCAGACTAACAGAGATATGCTTGCTTCTGCTTTCCAAGTGTGAGGATTAGAGGCATGCACCACTACACCTGGCCCAAACTTAAATTTCTTTGCTAGCTTTTTACAAGTTTGTAAGGGGATTAACAGTAACTCTCTTGAAGGCATCTCTAATGTAGGGAGTTGTGTTCTTGAGTACAAGCATATTGAATAAAAACTAGAGATGGTAGTACTGTAGTCATTTATGAGAATTGAGTGTCACTTAGCCAAGATTTTGACCTGAGGAATGGTTACCATATGTTCAGCCTAGAGCATATACTATCTGAAGCCAAGGCCATGGGTTTCCAATAAAGCAGTTCTAAATAGTTTTTTTTTTTTTACCACATAACATACACAATTTTATGATGTTTTTCTTTTTTTTTTTTTCTGAGGCAGGGCTTCACTGTGTAATAGCTCTAGATGTCCTGGAACACACATTGTAGACCAAGCTGGCCTTAAACTCACTTGCCTCTGTCTCTCAAGTGCTGGGATTAAAGGCATGTACCATCACTACTTGGCTATACTAAGTTTTTGATTCATATAAAAGCATAATTATTTTGTCCACAATAAAACTTAAGTTGAGGTAAAAACAAAAAAGTTTGTTGGTGATCTCATTTTATGGCAGAATACACCAAAACAATACAAGTTATTAGACAATAGAAGATTAACAAAGAAAAAATTTTGTTATGGTAAAATATTGGTCTGAATTCAGAACTACATGTTGCTAAAGTTGAAGACCTATGGTTCTCAACCTTCCTAATGCTGTAACCCTTCAATACAGTTCCTCATGTTGTGGTTAACCCCATCCATAAAATTATTTTGTTGCTATTTCATAACTATAATTTTGCTACTGTTATGAATCATAAGATAAATAATATACCAGATATTTGATATGTCGTCCCAAAGGGTCACAATCCACAGGTTGAGAACCACTGAGATAGACTATATGAAGTCAGTGCTACTATGGGAGTAGATAATTTTAATTCTGAAAATGAGAAATAATGAATTCTTTCAATTTGTATGTTTAAAAAATCAATCTGTTCTATGGTGGAGTAAAGTTTTAGGTAGTTGTATGATATCTTAAGTATTTTAATTAATCTTGTGAAATAAAATAATTAGGAAAGTGAAGGGCCTGGGATAATAAAATAGTTGCTTTAGCTTTTAAATATATTTTCTCATTTAATGAGCACATAAATCCTTTCTTCAAAGATCCTTGTAGTTGCTCTGACTCATGGCGTAATAATAGTAGTACTGATAACATTAATTTGCTCAGCACATAATTAGGTACCATGCACTGTGGTAAGCACTACATGTATATTAATTCAGAACCCCTACATGTCATAGTATTGTACCTTTATGTGTAGTGTACATGCAAGAAAAGTGGTAGGACTGTTCTCCATCTAACAGTGCTGGGTTACTTACCCCCAAGTGTGGTTATTCATGGCAAACATTGCTACTTACTGGTGAGTTAAACTATTTGAGGTGTAAATTGAACACTTTGCTTATCTTTATTCTAATTACACAGTTGCCTTAGATAAGATCTCTAATTTTGGTATAGAAGAGAAGGAGGGAGGCATGCCAGGTGACATTTGTCCAGTTCAAAGATACGATGCATCTTCCTAATGGTATTAGGAGTGAAGGCAAAGTGGCTGGATAGATTCTTAAATTAGCATTTTTCAGGCTATTTGAAACAATAAGCATTTTAGACCTCCCTAACGAAGAGTGAATTTCTCTCAGAAGGCTTCCCAAGTCTGCATGTGTCTAACTATTGTTATACTTTTCTCACTGGGCTCCATTTCTTCTGCAACTGCTGCCAGTCTATAGACTTAAAAGTATTTGATCATTTTCTTGTCTTTAGATGTGGCCAAGATCCTGAGATTTTATTTATAGCTCTTACATTATAATAAACAAAAAAATTAGGGTTTTCTTGTTTTGTATCGTTAAAGAGGGCTTTACATTTTTTGGTAACTTCGGATAATAAAGATACTGCTAAGTACTTAACCTGGTGAATGAGGCCTTTCCAGTCTCCTTTATTCTATACCTAACACTCTGCCATACTGGAACACTTTGATAATGCCTTTCTGCTTTCTGTGTTATTCTCTAGACACCCTCCTTTCTTCAGCTTCCAAATACATTCTCCATCCAAAGTCATGTAGATTAGAGGACAGAATATGTTTACAGCATGTTGTAGCTTGTATTACGATTATTTATGACATAATCAAATCTTAGTTCTTTGTCCTAACTTTCGAACTTTCTTGTGATTAAATCTTTCTCTCACTTTTAACCCTTAAGGTGTTGCTTGTAGATAGAGGACGATTAATTAATATTTATTAAGCAGTGAATGAGTGGAGTATATAGCCTTCCACGTACAAATTATAAATGCATCCCTTAATGAGGTTACAAAGTGAAGTTGAACATCATCTTTTATAACTTGCAGTTGTGAGAGGATCTTATAAGTGGTGTGAGTCAGCAGGGCTTGGCAAAACTGCAGAACTGAGTACTCTGATAGTCTTCAAAGGGTGCAGAGGATGTCTGTTTTCAAAAGCTTGAAGCTAAGGTAGGGTATGAATTTGTTCATTCAGTGCCATTCTGCAGTTTGTAAACTGTAAATGCATTTGGTCTTTCTCATGATCATCTGGATTTTAATAGGCTAGACAGAGTAACATCATACTGTTCTGTTTTGATGAATGAAGCTATAAGTTAGTTCTAGTTTTCCTTACTTGTTCTGATTCCCAAGTTATTTCAGAATGATTGCACTCCTTAAGCTGATTTTTCTTCTTAGAAAGTTAAGTCTGTGTGCTGGGTATGGAGTCTCATACTTGTAATCTCTTTACTTAGGAAGCTGAAGCAGAAGGATAACTTTGGGTATCTCCACTCTATCTCCCCTTGCCCCTTCAGGCTACATATGGAATTCTAGGCTAGTATTTCTCAAACAGCAGTTAAAGATCAGGGGATGGTGTAATTTCAGAGGGGAGGCAGGGAAATCAGGAGTTCAGAGTCATCCTATATAAGAACCTGTCTCAAAAGAAGAACAAAGAAAATTCAATCTGTCAGCCAGTGTGTTATTACTTAAAGCATGTGGCCCTGAATGTAGAACGTGAGGGAATTGAAATGTGAAGAATGATATCAGCTAGGTAGCTGCCTTGGTACTAATAAATGGTGATATTTAATCGTCTCTAGAGAACAGTAGAATAGTTACATGGAAAATGTACCAGAGGCATCACCACCGATAAAAATGCCTCTCTCTCCTTTTTGTGACTGACTTCTTTCATGTTTTCAAGGTTTATCCATAGTGTACCATGTCTCAGTACATTTCTTTGTCAGATAATACTCCATTGTGTTGATAGACTGAATATTTGAACTAAATCTCTCTGGTTCTGAAGTTCATCTATTGCTACCATGTCATGTAAATTATTATGTGTGTGCTGCTAGATTAGGAGGTTCTTGAGGAAATGTCTTTTTACTTTTGATAATACAGTGTTCTGAGTACTTTGTTCATAATAAACATTCATTTGGTGCATTGATATGTAGGCAGTAAACTGAAGTCTTTGTTACTTTTTCTAGTTCATGGTATTGTTGAAAATAGCATTCTATGTGAATTTAGAAAACCCAACCCTGTTTTCTTCATTTCTAGGAAGAAGAAGCAGGAAGGATAAAGGATTGCTGGGACAACCAAGAGGTTCCTGCACTCTCTACATGTAGCAATGCCAATATCTTTCGAAGGATAAATGCCATTTTGGATGATTCACTGGACTTCAGTAAAGTCTGCACAACACCTATAAATCGAGGAATTCATGATAAGTTGCCAGGTAATATGAGATTTGAAAATCGGAGGCACAGGGCTTATTCAGAACTTCGGCTAAGCAGTGCATGCTAGAGGGCTTATTGGGAGGCCTATGGAGAACACACTGAGTCTCTGGCAGTACTTGCCCATTTCATTGTTTGTATTATGGATTGGATCCCCTCATGTGTGGAGACTGCCTGTAATTATAGAATAATCTGTTTTGTGTGATGCACAGGAAGAGTTGAATTTAAAAAGACTGAAAGTAACAGTATTTGTGTGTCCAGCAGAGGGGCTGGGAGTGAAGTGCAGACATGTATTTCTAGCTCTTAGAAGATGGAGACAAGGAGAAATGTAAATGTGGGGACAGCCTGGGTTACATAGTCATTTCATGGTTAGCATAAGATAACTAGCAAGATCTTGTTCTAGAAATACAGAACATAACCACCAATTGTTAGTCAGGGTTCTAGCGCCAATACGACAGAAAAATATAATATAAATCATATTGTTGAAGATTTTTGGTAGCTCTTTACATTGTGGGGCTGGAGAGATGGCTCAGTTGTTAAGAGTACTTCTTTTTCTTGTAGTGGACCTGACTTTGGACCTGAGTTTGTTTCTCAGATGAGCATCAGGTGGCTCACAACACTGGTAAATGCAGTTCCAGGGAATTTGATACCCTATTGGTCCCCCAGGGCACTAGTCACATACATGGTACATATATTTAGGCACTCACATACACATATAAAAACAAGGCTGTTTTTAAAGTTAGGGTTGAAATACATTTAGTATTTAGTTCAACATATATAAAATACTGTCTTGTCAACATATTAGTATTAAAAATGTGCTAGTAAGCTGTATTTTGTCTTTGTCACTCTCTGCCTTATTTCTCTGAGTACAAGGTTTTTCACTGAAGCTGGAGCTCAGTTTCTTGGTGTCCCCACCCCCAGCTTTCTGCTAGACTGGTAGCTAGGGAAACCCAACAATTCTCCTGTTTCCACCCTTTCCTGGTACTGACATTATAGGCACATATGGCCACCTATAGGTTCTTATATGGGTGCTGTGGGTCTGAACTCAGGTTCTCATGCCTGTGTAGCAAGCCCCTTTTACCCACCAAACTATCTCCCAGCTCAGCTCTATCTTAGTACTAAGACTTGAGAATGAAGTAAATTTGTCATAATGGACTAGTTATATTTCAAATATTCAGTAACCACTTGTGACTTGGTAACAACTGTATTAGATGGTACAGTTTTTAAAACATGAGTACAGGTCAACAGGCATGTAATTTTCCCATATGTAGGAGACTACTGATCAGTAGGGAATGGGAAATCTCCTGAAGATAACTCTTGCCAGGACATTATGGATACCTTGACAGTGTTTCATAGTCTTCTGTGGCAGTTGCACAGAACTCCAACAGTTTTAAGAATGTTGATGTAATATTTTGCTTGGGTCATTTTAGAAGAAAGATTACATTTTTAATTTTTTAAAATGGGCTTTGAAAAATAGCAACAGATTTCCTAGAATGACTGGCAAGTACTGTTCTTTAGTTATAAAATCTGTGATTTAACTTTTTAAATTTAGTGTTGGAAATAATTCTCATGAAAATGTAGGGTCCATGAGCACTAAGTAGTAGCTAAACATTTGGAGGAAAAACTAAGAATAAAACTGAAGAGTCTGTGATGGCTCAGCAGTTAAGAGCACTTAATGCCTTTGCTGAATACTCAAGGTCTGACTTCCAGCACTCACATGGTGGTTCACAACAACCTGTAACACAGTTCCAGCAGCTTCCAAAGGCTTTCTCTGACTTCCATCAGCACTCCACACATGATGCATGTACTCAGTCATACACAAATGTACATAAAATAAAATTTTTTAAAAAAGAATAAAATTGAAGCTAGGTGTGGTGGTGACCACCTGTAATCTCAGCTCTTGGGAAGCTAGATACAGGTATTGTAGTGAGCCTGAGTTACTGAGTGAGGCCCTGTCTTAAATACAAAGACAAAAAAACTAAATTGGCCTGTGGTGTCTATAGAATTTATTTCTGATGAATTGCACAGGAAGATATGGGAGGTACTTTTGACAGTCTGGATGTTTGACTCTATCAACTTCCAAAAGTGCATACACATTTAAATTATGAGCTAACTAAGCTCTCCATTAGCTTACAGTGAATTAAAAATTCATGAAGGTTCTTTAGTTTTTAATACATGTTTTATTACTCTTTGAGAAAACTATGTGATTATAGTTTCTACTAAGACTTGGGATAAGAATATAGTTAATGGAAGAGTGTGTACTTAGCGTATACATGGCCTTGGGATTGATTCCTAGTTGAAAAGAATAAAAAAAAAATGACCATCACTAGTGGCTTAACCTCAGTGAGTTGCTTCAGTCAAGCATAACATTTTTTTTGGTTGATAATTTTTCAGTTGGTGCAGGTTGTTGAATTGTCTTTATATATATACTGTCTTGTTGAATGTTGGTTTCCAAGTCATAAAGGTAATATACATTTTGTTTCAAAAGATTTCTAAAGACAAAACAAAACATTCCGATAGCATTCCTCTGTTCATTGTAAATGGTGTTGTGGCATTTTCATACAAGTAAATGTTACATATTGGGCATATTTTCTTTCATTCTCTCCCCTTGCCTTTTCTTTCTCCCCATTAGTTCTTTTTATCCCCTTTGATAGTTTTGTTTCTAATTTATATCCTATATAGATACATGATTTGAATGCATCAGTACATAGTATAGGGTCTATAATATGAAATAAAATATTTATCTTGTTGAGACTAGATTAACTCACTTAATCTGTTGCATCAGGTTTTCTACAAACAACATAACTTCATTCTTTTATTTATTTATTTATTTTTTGGTTTTTCGAGACAGGGTTTCTCTGTGTTGCCCTGGTTGTCCTCGAACTCAGAAATCCACCTGCCTCTGCCTCCCAAGTGCTGGTATTAAAGGTGTGCGCCACCACTGCTAGAACTTCATTCTTTATGACTGAAAAAATTAAATTCTGTATGTTTGACAGTTTGTATATGCTTGGCCCAGGGAGTGGCACTATTAGGAGGTATAGCCTTGTTGGTGTAGGTATATAGCTTTGTTGGAGTAGGTATGTCACTGTGGGCTTGGGCTTTAATACCCTCATCCTAGCTTTCTGGAAGCCAGTCTTCTCCTAGCAGCCTTCAGAGGAGGATCTAAAACTCTTAGATCTCCCTGCATCATGTCTGCCTGGATACTGCCATGTTCCCATCTTGATGATAATGGACTGAACCTCTAAACCTGTAAGCCAGCTCCAATTAAATGTTGTCTTTATAAGAGTTGCCTTGGTCATGGTGTCTGTTCACAGCAGTAAAGCCCTAACTAAGGCAGTAAACCCACCTCATTGTCCATTTGTTAGACGCTGTTAGACGCCTGAGTTGGTTCTCCCAACTTGGCTGCTGTGGGCAATGTTACAATAATCATTGATGTGCAAGTTGACACAGAGGCCTTTGGGTAAATACCCAGGAGTAATACACCTGGGTCATGTGGTAAACGTGTGTGTGTGTGTGTGTGTGTGTATTTGTACACACCATGAAGTGCAGATATCCATGAATGCCAGAAGTGTTGGATCCTCTGGAGCTGAAGCTAATGATGTAGTTGGGAGGTGCCAGATGTGGGTGCTGGGAAACAAATGCTGGTCTTTACAGTAAAAGCAATACAAGCTTTTAACCCAAGAGGTGTCTTAGGGCCTTGTTTGTTTTATTTTCTTTCCTCTCTTCCTCCCTCTCTGCCTCTTGTCTTTTGGAGTAGGAGATGAGGTCTCAGATATATAGCCTTACTTTGACTGGCCTGGAATTTGCTATGTAGACCTCAAAATCAAGAGATCTGGCTACCTCTGCTTCCTGGGTGCTGGAGTTAAAGGTATGCACCCCCCCGCATCTCCTGTTTGTTTTTTTTTAGTGACTGTTACTGACTAGAGTAAGGTGGATTGTAAAGCTAGTTTAATTGCAATTACAGATAAGTAGTAACCACGAGTATTTTTTTTATGTTTGATAAATTTTGCTTCATTTTTTGAGAACTATCAGTTCATTAGCCCATTTAAAAATATCCTAAAGTTCTTCCCTCCATTCCCCTTCCCCAGATGTTAAAAAAAAAAAGTCTTGGAGTTAGCTGTCTGTCTTATGTGTAGCTAGCAAAGATTTTTCTCCCATTCTGTAGGCTGTTTCCTTGCTGTACAGAAAACCTTGTGATTTAATGGGATCCCAGTTGCCAATATTTTTGAGCAACTGACGTTTTTGCTCTTTGTGTATATCCTGTAGTATTTTCTCTGCTTTCCACTAGCAATTTCAGAGTTTTGGTTAATTTTTCAGGTCTTTGATCCATTTAGAATTGATTTTTATTCAAGGCAAGATACAGGGATCTAGTTCTATTCTTCTTTCTACATGTGTATTCAGTTTCCCAACATTATTTGTTGAAGAAGCTGTCTTTTTTTTCTGATGTATATTTTTGGTATCTGTTAAAAATCAGCTTGCTATAGTTCTGTGGGTTTATAGCTGGGTCCTCTTTTGTAGGACCATTGATCTACATGTCTGCTTTTGTACAATGTAATGCTGGTTTTGCTACCACAGCTCAGTAGTAAAACCTGAAATCAGGTATAATGTTACTTCAGGATTATTGTCATGCTCAGGATTGCTTTATATTTGTAGTCTTTTCTTCTTCCATATGAATTTAAAACCTGGAGGCTCTGCCAATTGGGCCAAGTCCATGAAAGCAGCAAAAAGTCACCAAAACACCACCAAAAGTTCTTTGGTGCATTTTTCTCTATAAAGTCACAACAAATGATGAACAACAACAAAAAAGACAAACTAGTACCACACAGCGATGTTAGTGAAGATGAGTGTCAGCAAAGCTCAATGATGACCAGCAAAAACTTGACAAGGCAAATCAACACCACACAACATCGTCCACTGTCTGTTGGGTTATATCTGTACCCTTTCCAAAGATCACGTGTGTTCTCAAGCATCCACTCTAGCAACACACCACATGCCCTTTTTT